TAAATTTCTGACCAAAATTTTAAGCAAAGGAGCCATTTAAACCTATTTCATGGCTGATCGAGTGATTTATTAAGTTTATCTCTTGGCATGTTAAATTTACTTGAGTCGTATAGGAAACGATAGTAGAAGCGGTTTTTATGTGTTATTGGGAATCCATGCTCCACAGATGCTCGGTTCATAATTGTACATTTAAGTTTGCAGCAGGTTTACAAGAAAGTCTTTATGTTCTAGCAAGTTTTCAGTTCGTTTTTTATTCTTTTTCTTTATTATTTATTTATTTATTTATTTATTTATTTATTTATTTATTTATTTATTGACACTGTATTGAGTATTCTTTGGAGTTGTTTCTCAGCCTGCTCTGAGTACCCTGTCGTCTGCATACCTTAGATTGTTGATGTTTTTGCCATTAACTTTCACTCCATCATGATCATGATCACAGATGTTGCATATAATAATTTCAACATAACAGTAGATATTAAAGAGATATATGGTGATGGCACACGTCACATATCCAGTGTTTTACTCTTGTACAGATTGGTTTGAATTCACTGCATTCACTGTCTATCTTTAATGTTGCTACTTGTTCCCAGTAAAGGTTTTTTAAAATTCTTATATCTTTGCAGTACAGGTTCAACTGTACAAAGGTTTTGAAGAGGTCTTCATGTTTAAATTTGTCAAATGCTTTGGAATAATCTATGAAACACAGGTATAGATCTTACTGAACTTCTGCTGATCTTTCCATCAGAGTTTGGAAGGTAAAAAATGCATTTTTTTTAAAGAAAGAAAATATTGTTACAAATTATGTAAATTGTTCTCTCGCTCACTCATTCCCCTTTCTGAAACAAGTGTATTAATGATGCCCATTTTTTGTTAAAGCAATAATAACTCTTCCTATGAGATTCAAAATTCCGCATGAAATACATTGTAAACAACGCATGGAAATATATTCTATTGTATTTTACCACTAAAACGGCCGTTATTGTAGGAAAACTAAAATCTGTGCTTGTCAATAGGGCTTTCGATGCCTTTTTTCCGGTCGTCAAGGCTTTCGTTGCTAATGACGTAATGGTGTCACGCGGATTCTCGCGTTCATTCGAGACCAAAATAACATGGCGCCAAAGGCATTAGTGCAGACGCAGACGTAAGTTGCGAGTTTTTGTACAGTGCATCGGATAACGAAAAGCCCAGAATGGCACACATTGTGGATATAAATGCATTTTTAACAAAAAGACGAATATATCTCATGAATCTTATATAGTGTTGTTGTTGTCTGCTTTTCCCGCGGTTTTAAGTAGGTCACCAGTGACTTTGCAATGTCAGAGAGAGCTCCGTCAGTTAAAATCTCTCAAGAGATTTTAACAAGAAACCGTACGTTTAGGAAAAAAACCCTGAATTAACTTTGAATGCAGGAATGGGGTCGTTGACCATTGGTAAGTACAGAAAAATTGCCGTTTTTTCCAGGAAAATCCAATTTTTGGCCAAAACGAAGAGTTATTATGACTTTAAACTTTTCTTTCTCACCTTTACTAATGTGCCTGAATTTTTTCTACTTCAAAATACCACCTTATCATTTTTTCCAATTCATTAATATTTAACTTAGCTTCTTCACATCTCTTCATATATATATATATATATATATATATATATATATATATATATATATATATATATATATATATATTATTTGACTTAAAGCCATCTTATTAGCACTCAGTAATATAATGTCACGACTACTTAGTTCAATTATTGTTCTTGTAGATTCATTTATCCATCTTATTAATTTATCCCATAGATACTGAACAAGCACACATTCATAAAAAAGATGTTCAATACTTTCTACTTCTGTTTTACAAAATGTACGTACATTACTATCATAAACCTTAAAATATAATAACTCTTCGTTTTGGCCAAAAATTGGACTTCCCTGGAGTAAACGGCAATTTTCCCATACTTACCAATGGTCAAAGACCCCATTCCTGCATTCAAAGTTAGTCCAGGGTTTTTTCATAAATGTTTGGTTTTTTGTTAAAATCTCTTAAGAGATTTTAACTGGAGGAGCCCTCTCTGGCATTGCATAGTCACGCGATATCGAGGGATAACAACACTATATAACACTAATATAAGATTCATAAGATATATTCGTCTTATTGCTCAAAATGCATTTATGTCTACAATGTGTGCAATTCTGGGCTTTTTGTTATCCGACGCACTGTACAAAAACTCGCAACTCGTGTCTGCAGATTGCATCAGGCGTTTGGCGCCATATGTTATTTTGGTCTCGAATGAACGCGAGAATCCGCCTGACACCCAAACATCATTGGCAATGGATGCCTTGACAACCGGAAAGAAAGGCATCAAAAGCCCTATTGACAAGCACAGATTTTAGTTTTACTACAATAACAGCCGTTTTAGTGGTAAAATGCAGCAGAATATATTTCCATGCATTGTTTACATTGTATTTCTTGCGGAATTTTGAATCTCAAAGGAAGAGTTATTATTGCTTTAAAGTGTAACTTATGGACCTGAAGACCTTTGCTAGTCACATTCGGATGGTCAGTCTGTCATTTTTCCTTGGGTAATCAATAGCTAAGTTCAGGGCTATTAAGTCACTTGCCTTGAATTAAGATACATGTGGCCATGAAATGAGATTACATAAAACACCACAGGTAAATGTTGTTTAATATTGCAAATAAGTTTTCAAAAAATTATTTTGTGTTATGCCAACATTATTGGTATAGATGAATTATTATCCTCAAACTCAATGGAGTTACTAATTTCATGTTAATACAGTAAGATTAAATGTTTGAATAGCAGCTTTATTGGAATATTTTTGGTATGTTTTCTTTTTAATTTTTTTTTCAAACACTGGCATTTTCGAGATGTGACTTTTAACTCCCATCCACATAAGCAGTTGTATTGGTATTTATGTCTTTAAACATTATGTAATATTATTTTATGCACTGTCATCGTTTTTCAAATATTGGGATTCTTTATGTGAATTTGAACTCTCATGGTCTTGAAACTGTAATCTTATTGCATAGGCGGATTGAGACCATCTTCTGGGTCTTCTGGAAGACGGTCAGATTTTAAAGTTTACATTGACGGGTATCTATTTTTTTCTGCTTGAAGACCATCAGAAATGGAGGGTGGATCAGCAAAGATAATTTGGAACTCTGTAGGAAAATATATCTGGATCCGCTCCTGTTATTGATCATGTCACCTGTGCATGATTAAAATTCAGTGTTGTTTGACTGCATTATTTATTATTGCATCAAAATTGACAAAATGACATATTTTCTGCATCTTTATTTTCTGTTTTTTTTTTGTTTTTTTTTTGTCTGTACATTTGACAGCTTTGCTGCTTTTTCAACCAATTTGAGGATGTAAAATATTGCAGAAGAAAGAGAAGCAAATTGTTCATATTTTCTTTCATTCCAGCATAGAAGTATAAAGTACTAAGTGTAAAATCAGCCAATCCGTGATGGAATTGTTGTTCTGGCGGCTTCTTCTTCTGGTTTTGATGGAATGTGTCTTGGTCCGCCACACTGTCTCGTCAGGTAAGTAAAAGGGCCAGACTGACAGAATATATATATACCCGGTATATATATATATATATATATATAGAGAGAGAGAGAGAGAGAGAGAGAGAGAGAGAGAGAGACTCACTAATTAAATAGAGGGACAACAAAGACTGACAGAGCATACATATATATATATATACGTACATTGATGGACTGTTTGCCTCAACATGTAAATAAAGGGGCCGAACTGACGGATAAAAGGTCTATACTGCATTACTCATCAGAAAAACATATTGATAATGTAAATAATTATAATATTTTTTGTTTTGTTTAATTCTATTTTTTGCTCAGGGGAGTTGAAGAGGAAATATTATGAATGATATATCAAATTTAAAAAAGGTTTTACTGTGAAAGTGAAGTAAATTTTAATTAATCTGATGAACTATACGAACGGTGATAGTGTGGACATCACAACACATTTAAGAGGATGTTTTAAATTAATATTAATACTTAAATTCCCTATGTAGCTAAATTGTAAACTGAATGAAATGTTAAGTATATGTAATTGGTTAAACAGTAAATTTCTTTTCAGCCAGTTGTGAGCCTAACTCTCACTAGTGCGCTTCAAATTGTCTTTATCTGCAATTTATCTGCAATTCATATCATGAATGATTTTACATGTTCTTAATCAATGAGTAAACCTATTATTGGACTATATATATATAATTGGATAAATGCCTCCCCGTACACATTCCCCCATAGTGAGGGGAGGTTACAGGGTACTTAACTAGATGTTTGTGGAGGTTGAGGTAATGTTTGATTTTAAAAGCAGAGTCAGTCCACGGTAAGACCATTTCTACAGTGGCGGATTTAGAGAGGGGGGTGTCAGGGGGGGTCTTGCCACCCCCTCCCGATTGGTTTCTGAAAAAAATGACACTAATATTCCCCTCTGTTGGAATTAGATATTTACTAGCTGATTTACAGTACTAAACCTTACTAAATGGCATCATTTACCCTCTAAAATACCAAAAATTTTCGGGATCCTTCAGCAGCCCCTGAACCCCACACCAATTTGAGGGAGGGGGGCTTTGCATCTGCAGACCCCCCTTCAAATTATCCTGGAATATGCCCCTGGAATAAGATCATGTAAAATCATTTGTGATCTGAAAGTACTGATTAAGACCATTTTAGGCCTACTCATGCCTTGCTATGATATATATATATATATATATATATATATATATATATATATATATATCAAAATGTTAAGTCTGTAGATATACCACTTAATTATATATATCTGGTATTTCATAATCGTAAGCTAGGTTCAATCTTTTGTTTAATCATTATTCAGACCCATGTGACAGTAACCCTTGCCTTAATGGTGGGACTTGCAATCTCTTTGGAATTTCAGACGAATGTGACACGCACACTTGCAGTAATAATGGCACTTGCATAAATTAAATCATTTGATCGTGTACGTGGTGCCGTATTGGCATGCAACTGTACCACTAATTTTCATGGAGACTATTGTGAGTTAGGTAAGATTATAAGGCCTGTACCAATAGCAAGACGTTCCAGGTTATAATGCAGAAAATTTAACAATGACAGAAGTTAAATAAATAAATACAACAGTATTGCATTTGACCCTCCTGATGTGCTTCATTTAGAACATATGTATGTGAGGTACCATTTATTCATTGTTGTTGTACGTGCTTAGTAACGACATGGAAAGGAGTTTAGTGGGGAAATTGTGAATTTGACAGATACTGACTTTTTTACAATGTTGCTATTGAGTTGTAGAATCCGAAATGAAGCAAGTAAGTAACTCCTATATAATATTCTTCTATTCTGTACAGTAAAATCACAAAAAATCAGAAAAACTGCTATATTAAAAATATGACAGCTAGCGCTGACAACATATCTTGGCATTGAACATTGTTTGAATCAGGCTCTGATGCCAGGTAGGTAAGCTTTGCCTGCTAGAAGACTTAACATATCTGCATTGGTTAAGGACTAGATAGCAACAAATCAGTAGCAATGTGAAAATATAATAGAAAAATAAAAATGATAAGATTATTTCATGTGTATAATGGTCGTTGGTCCAATATAAAATTCATTTATTCTAGGCAATGCACCCACCAGAAATAAAACTTTATTACAGACCTCATTTAGATGAAATAACTAACGTATTTCAAGTGACCAAATGATTAAGTGATATTTTATATAATCAAGTCATATAATGATGTTGATGAAAAGTGAACTTTGTCAATTAATATTTTCTTTTTGAAACTTGATTAACAGTGACATGTGGAGCAAATGCCCTGTGTATTCATCCAGACACATCTAACATAGGGCATCATCAGGAATGTCCAGTAGAAACTGGCTACAAATGTGTTTGCAATTATGGTTATGCAGGAGACGGAATAAACTGCACAAGTAAGTTTTATTTTTTTTTTTTATAATTGAAGTGGTTGGAAATATGTGATTTAAAATAATGGAAATAGTGATGGGGTAGGAATAGTAGATAATGTACTGTAAGTGAGCCTCCTTTTCAGTGCAACTGTGTGTTAGAGTTGATGTCACTTCCTGTACTGAGATTCTGTTTCTTTACCTTTTTAATAAAGAAAGACTGTATACTAATAAATGCATGTATTTACCATTAGAGGTATTTAAATTAAAAGTCCTACAGTTCTGAGAACAGACCTTAACATAAGTATAATATGGCATAAAATTGTTTGAATCGGGCTCTGATATGCCAGGTAGTTAAGCTTTGCCTGCTTGAAGACTTAACATATCTGAGCATTGGTTAAGGACTAGATAGCAGTGAATAGCTAGGTAGCAATGTGGAAATATAATAAATAGAACAAAAATAATAAGATCATTTGATATGTATAATGGCCATTGGCCCATTACAGAATTCATCCATTCTCAGTAATGCACCGGCCAGAAATAACACTTTTTTACAGACCTCACCCAGACCTATAACTAACATATTTCAAGCGATTAAGTGATATTTTATATAATCAATATAATGATGTTGATTAAAAGTAAACTATATCAATTTACATTTTTCTTTTTGGAACTTTATTTACAGTGACATGTGGAGCAAATGCCCTGTGTATTGATCTAGAAACATCTGAAATATCACATACTCGGGAATGTCCAGTAGAAACTGGCTACAAATGTGTTTGCAATCATGGTTATGCAGGAGATGGAGTAACTTGCTTAAGTAAGTTTTATGAAATTATCAGATACTTGAAATGGTTGGAAATATGTGATTTTAAATAACGAAAATGATGGGGGTTGCTTAGTGGACAATGTAAGTGGGGATATATTCCAATTAAATATTTCCCATGAAATGTGATGAAAATATTCCATAAATCATTTCCCCCCAGGTTATTTGCAAGTCATTATAATAATAATTATAATATATTGAGCACAGAAGCACAGAAATGATTTTACATTTAAATGCTCTCTAACTAATATATATATATTTATATAATAAAAAGAAAAAAAGAACAGCAGCTATTTTACCCGACCGGTTTCACTGCAGATGAAGATTCACTGAAACCGGACAAGGCAAAATAGCTGCTGTTCTTTTTTTCTTTTTATTATATATGTATATACTTGTACAGGAAAAATACTTTTACTTTCAATATATATATATATGGAAAAATAGTAATAATAGTAAATAAATTAGAAAAGAAAATTGTACATAAATGATGTTATACAATATACATTCTAATTAATTGCGTATTTTCATAATTTTACTTATATAACTTTCTACTGCAGTTGCACCCTGTGCAGAGGGTGGATTTAGAATTTAGATTTATAATAATAAATGGTCTGGTTTATTATTGTTAGCTTGGCTGCCTAATTAATAAGCCCCTGAACCACCAGGGTGGTGACCCCTTTACTGGCGTCATGAACAATTATTTCCATATACTAACACGAACCTTAGATTTGAGAGCATAAATGCACAAATTTTAATTAAAACAATGTAACCAGTCACAAATTTACTATCCCAACATAGAATTACAAGCTTTCCATTTCATTACACAAACAACTTGGCCAGCTTCCATCCGGGTCTCTGGCGGTATACAAAGGCAGCTTATGGGTACTTTTTATTCGGGAGTAATTAAAGCACTCTCAACTATCTCCAGCTCACTTGGAACATACCAAAGGGGTAGATGAGCATATATTTAAAGGATTTATGTAATGAAACGCTTTGGCATATAGTACGTATTAAATTATTTAAGAAAGATCAAACTAACACTTCAATATTTACTTATATTGCATGAAACATAACATTGATGTTTTCAATGTTATTTTGTTATCAACATTTTTTTTGAAGGAAAATGTTATGCTCTTTATATAAAGAATAAGTAAAGGACAAACATATGTACGTACTCAAAATTTGGCTGGTGACATTGCTTTTACTGAAAGTAACATAAATGGTGTGAATATGACATAACCTTAAATAATGTCAAGTAATAAAAATTATGTAATGTTTTACACCTGGAATATGCAAATATCTAAATTAATAAGGCATAATGTAATGAAAACTTTTATAATTCTACCATATAATGCGCAAAACGCAATCTGCAATTGCATGGTTCATGTCAGATTTACATAAGAAGAAAACCAAAGGACACACAATGACCAGTTTTGCAGATTATATTTGTTGATGCTCGGTAGCAACTTCTGAAATATATCGCACCTTAAAGTAAATGAAAATAAACTACACTATATATAATGGGGATATATATGGTACTTGAAATATGGATGGTGACATTGCTTTTACTGAAAGTAAAATAAATGGTGTGAATATGACATAACCTTAAATAATGTCAAGTAATAAAAATTATGTAATGTTTTAGACCTGGAATATGCAAATATCTAAATTAATAAGGCATATTGTAATGAAAACTTTTATTATTCTACCATATAATGCGCAAAACGCAATCTGCAATTCCATGGTTGGTGTCCGATTTATGCTAAAAGAATACCCAAGGACACATAATGACCAGTGTAATGGTTTATTTGTTGACGCTTGGTAACTACCTGATTTACATGAGATAACCATCTTTTGAACCCTACAAGCAATGCATCTGCCATGAAGAAGCAAACTTGTTTCTACATACTGGTATCAGAAGACTTCCTGTTTGATAACATACTTACATAATTCAAGTGATTAAGTGATATTATGTTAAAGCAAGTCATATCATGATTAAAATGAAGCAATATTATCAATTTATATTTTCAAAATCTTATTTACAGAGATGTGTGGGGCAAATGCCACATGTATTAATACAGGCAATTGTGAAAGAGGGCCCAGTGACCACTGCAATGAAGATCTTGGATTCAAATGTGTTTGCAATCATGGATATGAAGGGGACGGAGTTGTTTGTATCAGTAAGTTTTATAAATTCCTCACATTACTGGGAGGATCAGAAATTAGCTACTCAGGCTCTACAGGTTTATATCTGAAATATTACTTGTCAGTGAGGCATGGTTCTCAGACCTTTATTTATTTATCTATCCCCTCTTGTTTGCCCATATAAACCTCTCTTTCTATACAAATATCTTTATCTTCAAATAAACTGTCAACTGATTGCATAAGTGCATGTATGTCTATACACCTGGAAGAGACATTTGACTTACTCAGCTACTAGTATTTTAATGCTTTAAAAAATATTATATATATTGATAAGACACTTCATAACATCCTAATATTGAAAATGTACAGAAAATAAATTAAATAGCAGACTGTAATAAATTGATAAATTTTAAATTTCCTAAGCCCATGAAAGGGTAGGGAAACAGAAAATTTGTTTAAAGCATAAAATTAAAACAACAGCCCCGATATTTGGCACTGTTTAATCCAAACTCTGACGCCAGTTAGGTAAGTTTTAGCTGCTTAAGGATATTGTTACCTTTTGCCAGAAACCTTGCCATTGTTTAATGAAAATCTGTAGTTAGGGGCTCATAACTCCCAAATGACACCATTAAAACAAAAATGATGGCTACAATCCGGTGACCTTGGCACATTTTACGTGATAAAATCTTCAGGGATGAAGTTAGGCCTCACACCGATTCCTATCTCAGCTCAAAATAGAACGGTGTTAAACTGATGATTACATTAGAATTACCTATGCTTATACATAGCAGCAATAAATATTAACACTGATATTTGATATTTCCAAGGGGATTTTTATTGTTTTAAACCAGCACAAAGATATATGCATTATTGAACAATAAGATGCAAGAAACAACACTTTTTTCGGTATCTGGATGATAATTAAGGGTGACCATACCCTTAAAGGTACACATAAGCAAACTTGTTTTATAACCAGGATCAGATGACTTCCTCTTTAATAAAAATGGTGACATTGTGTTGTGTAAGCAAGATATACGATGATGCTGANATGTGCTCATTTTTAATTTTCTTTTTAATTTTCTTTTTAATTTTCTTTATTTTTTCATTAAAATTTTCACTGCAAACTACAAAAAATGTGCCAACGTATCATCCATTTTACATACTACAAGATCACAGTCATATACTCAAATAAAATAAGATGTATGAAGTTTTGTGGAGGGGGACTCAAATTTTCATGGGGGGAGTCCGATTTTCATTATGAAAATCTGACTGGGGAGTCACATTTTCATAATGAAAATCTGACTGGGGAGTCACATTTTCATGGGAGTCAGATTTTCATGTTACACCGGTATTGTTTGCTCGTGTCGATAGCAGTCTCTTTCCATCAGCTATAATAGAAACCTTTAGTGAGGCAATTAAGAAGGGGCAGGCCGTGTTCATTGAACCGACTAATTTGGGTGTCCGATAAGGGTTGCTTGGGGATTCCCCTACCCTGTAATTATCATACGGCCTCTATTGTTCGACCATATGGGGCAGGGTTGGGAAACCATACGGCCATTTGGTAAGGGGACATTCCGGCGGCACTGTAACACTGTTATCTTTATCCCAAGCTTCTAACCTTTTATTAAGTATGGAAGTAAACAGCTTGCCTAAACAACTAGTTATAGTAATTCCCCTACAATTACAAGGACCATCAACATTTCCCTTTTTATATAAAGGTATAATACAACCCTTACATCAATTCTCTGGAAAGTGCCCCGAATCTAGTACAGAATTAAACAAAGTTCTTAACGCCGATAGTAAAACATTTTTACAGTGTATAAAAATTTCATTTATCATACAGTCCTCGGCACAGCTCTTGTTAGCTTTTAATTTTTTAATTGCGTCAATGATCTCATCGTCACACACGGGACTATCTAATTCATTGAACACTGTCTCAGTGTATAAGCCTACATTGGGGTCTACTTTGCGGATGTCACAATCTATTCCACCAGTCGTCGTGTTCTTAAAATAATCATATAGTGTATCGATAGTAAGCTCCGAATTAACGTTTACACTCTTTTTGCGTGAGAACTGCTTATAAAAAACACGCGGATTGTGCTTTCTAGTATATTCTAACATATTACCTTCGAAGCGACTATATTTTCGTTTGAGCTGTTTGCAAATATTCTTATAACTTTTTTTATCTAAAAGGATTTTATGCTTATCTGGTGTTTTTTCCATATTGAATTCATGTAAAGCGGTCTTATAATTTTTAAGCTTTTCTTTACAATTTTCATCAAACCATGGTTTATCCAATTTTCTACTAGCAGTCTGTAAATATTTCTTCTCATACTGCTTTTTGGCGGTATGATTATCTACCTTGTTTACTTTGCAAAAGGGCACCACAGTATCTCTTAACATGCTACTAAATTCATCTACCCGAATGTTTAGTTCTACGGGGTCACTTTACTGAGCATCCATTGTATTACACAAACTGTCTATTCGATTCGCTAATGCATCATTTATCGACTTTGCATTGTTTTCTATCCATCTAACCGAAACACTAGTTCTAAGTTCCATGCCTGTCTTACGTTCATCATAATCTAAAAGCGCATTTAGCTTTAAAGGCCCACAAAGCAGGACGAACGTGATTGGTGCATGATCTGAAAAAGTGTTGAATGTGCCTGATGAAAACTTCACAATATTACTGAATGATTTAGATTCAGCTAGCAAATAGCCTATTGTGCTTAGTCCGTTTGAGTTACGAAAGGTAAAACTCCCGGTTATGTCATCTCTTTGCCTGCCATTGACTATTCTCATACCCACTTTCTTACAGAAGGAGAGTAATTTGCGCCAAAATAGGTTAACCACATTGTCTGCATTTTTCCTCTCACGTAACATGTTATCCATCTTATAAGTCATTACCGGCATTAAAGTGTCCCGGATCGTTTTATCTAAACAGTCGTTATTTATAAAATCATCAACATTGCTAGTCCGTGCATTTAGGTCACCCGTTATAAACACTTCTCCCTCAGCAATATATTTGCTATAAGACTCTTCTAAAGATTGAAATAGATCAACATCATTAATTTTATAAAATATACTATTTTCTGGCGGAAAGTAACATACTGCTATAAAGATTGGTTTGAAGGTATAAATGTATTACGTATGGAATCTATTCTTATCCATATAATACTACCATAAATATCACTTACTATATGTACATATTTTCTAATTTTAATTTTACAGAGGATGGCTATTCCACCACCACGTAGATCCTTTCTTCTATACAAATGGCAATTGTATCCCGCCAATACAATTATCATATCATTGCTCAACCAACATTCGGTTAGAAAAATCATATAATGCCCATTTATAATTGCTAAAAAATCAATATCAAGTATCTTGCGACTAAACCCTTTTCATACATTCCAGGAAATGAAACTTAGCTCCGAAACTTCACCTTTTTTTACCGAAACTGAGCATTTATCTATGGTGGGCGAGGTTTCTACCTCCTCGCGTGCGATATCTGTGTTAAACTGATTGTAGTCCAAAACTTGGCCGAAGGGCTGCCTGTCCTAGCGATTCATGGTTAATGGTGGTGATACAGCATGTTGTGGGGGTAAGAGAGGGGTCCTTATTCCGTTTACTGGTATTCGCGTTCCATTCACTGGCACTGCTTGAAAGATCCGCTTGGGGTTTGTGTATCTCAGTGTATTTATGTAAGGGGCTGGAGTTTGAACTACGTTGACCGGCTGCATTTGGGCGCTATTCGTGGCAGTAGCCATACGTGTATTATCTTGTCGCGTCCTGTCAGCTTTTTTTTTACTTTAATAAGCCCATGGTTGGTGATGTAGAATCTATGTCCCTCTGGCACATATTGTAACAAGTTTTTGTCAAGAACTCTCTCGCAGTGGGATTTACTGGCATATATACGTACTTTTCGCATTCTTGCATCTGTACTATTTCTTAGATTATGTTTCTGCCTTAATACTAGTATTTTCTCTTCTATGCTGCCTAAGGCTACCTTTACAAGTCCGGGTTTTCCATTCCTGCTTTGCAGTCTTTTGCACTCCTGTATCCTGGGTAGGGCCACGGCCTCTTGCTCAAATTCAGGTGGCATAATGGTCATCAGAATTTGTCCCACTTTGTCCTTCAAATTTCCATTAGGACTTTGATATAGGACTGTTATGATAACTGAAATATCTGGGTTTTCCACACCTGACTTTTGGCTATCCAAACATGATTCTATTCTACATTTAAGCGAATCAATAATTCTATCTTTTTCTTGCAAATCGTGAGTCAGTTCTAGTGTTTTGTCCTGTAGTGCTTTCAGCTTTAAATTTTGAGTATGGACTGTTACTTCTATATCTTTCTTCATTTCATTTACTTTTTCTTGTACAAGATGTGTGATATCTTTTTTAAAATGTGTGATGTAATGATGTAATAAGCCACGTGATGTAGGTCACAGGTCATGAGTGTGAAGCGGGAAGTGGGGATGCGACGTGGCATGTGAGACATGGACTTTTAATTCTGTAATAAATATTTAAATCTTTTATATAAACTGTTGTTACAATACCATATCTGGCGACAAGGATGGAACAGTTTCACAAGGGAGGAAAGTAACAAGTAAGAATATATATATAAACATTGACTATAGCGAAATTGAAAGAGCGCAGTGTAACTCGTTGAACAGTCACAATGGCGAGCCCATCTATACAGATACCTACTTATCATGAATTTGACTGTAAGTCAGAAGGCGTTGTCATTAGATGGAGAAAATGGATAAACAGATTGAAAAACAATGTATTTGTTGGTTATGGTATAACAAGTCCGAAAAAGAAGAAGGCACTCATGCTATCTTTCGCCGGCGACGAGTTAAATGACATCGTCAAATCTTTCAGCACATTTCAACTAACCCCCGGAGAAGGACAAGACGAGTTTACGAAATGTGTTGATGCTATCACTGACTATTGTTCACCTTCCATCAATGTTGAATTGAATAAATTTTCATTTCGACACGCTACGCAGAAAGGAGAGGACATTGACGAATTTTATGACTTGGAATCAGAGATAAAATCACAATTGATGATGGGATGTAAATCTCAGAAAGTCCGACAAAAGGGCTTAAGTAACCCGTCCATGACATTATCACAACTTTTGCAGTATGCGCGTACAGAACAACTTGTCACTTCACATACACAACGCATGGATGAACCCGCGGTTAACAGGTTGCAATTCAGGAGTTCGACAGGTAGTCAAGCATTTTAACAATGCCGTAATTGTGGAGGAGAATGGTCACATGTGGGTGGACGGTCGAAGTGTCCGGCCTTCAACAAGGACTGTTTCTCTTGTAAACGGCTTCATCATTTCGCATCGATGTGCAGATCGGGTCAGCAACCATCATCTTCAGCTACACCTAACAAGCGCTACGCCGTAAAACCTAAACGCGTACCTCATCGCCGTCAGAACAATGTGAATTGTCTACATGGAAATTCTGATGTGACTGAAAATGAGAACGAATGCACAGGTTCTGATGAGGATGGACATGTATTCGCAGCGCATGCAGTGACCGAGAACATGGACCAACTCCCACATTTTGAAATAGAGATGAACGGTAGGAAAATAATTTTTCTAGCTGATTCAGACTCTACTGTAAATTTGATTTCTGAATTTGAGTACAATAAATTACAACCAAGACCAACGTTACATATTTCAAGTACTAAAATCAAGGCCTATGGCAGTGAAAACAATTCAGTTCATGTGTTGGGAAAATTCACGTCTCACTTACAGGTTGGAACAATTAGCTGTGACGCAAAGTCTTGTGTGGTAGCTGGCAGAGAGAAACCTATTCTCAGTTGGCATACGTCTCAACAATTGCAATTAATAAAGAGTTGTGATCACATTCATTCCAAGCATATCAAATTGAACGATGAATTTTCTGATATTTTCCATGGCCTTGGTTGTTTGAAGCAAGGTGAGATAAAACTTCACATCGACGACAACATACAACCCGTAGCACAGCGTTATAGACGCATTCCGTTCCACGTCAGGAAA